GCGTGAGGTGGCGGCAGGTGAGGGGGGGAGGGGAGCGGGGTGACCTGTCCGAGCTCCGGTACCGCCCGTGGTCCTCCCCGGTACCGCTCGGAGAGACCTCGGTACCGCCACGAGCCCCATTGGAGCTTTGGACTCTCCCCCGGTCCCAGCCTGGGACACCCCGAGGTGCCCTGGGGGGACTGAGACACCCCTAGTACCGCCGTGAGCAACATTGGAGCCTTGGGACCTCCCTGGTACCATCCTAGGACCCCCCGATACCGGTTGGTGTCCCCATGAGGAGCCATGAGACACCCCCGGTGTGACCTTTAGCGCCATTGCAGTCTTGGAACCTCCCTGGTGCTAGTGGGGGTCACCCACTGAGGCCTTTGCACCCTCTGGGTACTCCCTTAGCCCCACGGGAACCCTGGGACTCCCCTCCTGATACCAGGCTGGGACCCCTGGCACCTCCCTGAGCCCCCCTGGAGTCCCAGGACCCCCCTGGGACCAGCCTGGGACCCCCTTGAGCCCCACGGGAGTCCTGGGACACCCATGATACCAGTCTGGGTCACCCAAGGAAGCCCTGGGGACACACCAGCACCACCCTGAGCCCCAGTGGGGCCTTGGGACCCCCCTGGTACCAGCTTGGGACCCCCCTGGGGTACCCTGAGCCCAGCTGGAGTACTGCAACCCCCCCCCGGTACCGGTCTGGGTCACCCAAAGGAGCCCTGGGACACCCCCAGTACCACCTTGAGCCTTGGTGGAGGCCTGGGACACCCCAGGTACCACCTTGTGACCCCCCTGTACCACCCTGAGTGGCACCAGGGCCCTGGGACCCCTCAGTACCACCCTAGCTCTCCCCTTGGATCCCAGGGCCCCCCCAAGCTACAGCCCAATGTGACACTTGTTCATCTCCTTCAGGATCCCCCCTAGCATCCCCTTCTCTTCCCAATTCCTGCTTTAAAATTGCTTCAGTTTTCATTTTCTGACATCTTGCATAGGAAACCAGTCATTTTTTAAAAAAATTTTTTGCAGCGCTCTTTGAAAGGCCATGAGTCTTGATGCTGCACATTGGTCTAAACGCACGTTTATTTCGGTTACCCTGGGGATGAATTGCGAGTATGTCATCATTAAGGAGTTGAGGAAAATGGCCTCTTAATGTCTTCCCCTTTGCACATGGCAGCATCTAATTGGCAGTGAGAAAACAAGGGCTGGAAGAGAGAATATTTATTAGATTTGGTGCACAGAGCTTCTCTTTAGTTCTGTTTTACTAAATAATAAGTGTTGGTTCCTTCAGCTGAGATATAAAATGTCAGTGCGAGCTGCGGTCGTGCGAAATAAGGGAACTACCCCCGGACCACATGATTTCTGTCTCCTCACCAGTCTCCTACGGCCTCCGGGGTGCTTGTGCTGTCACTGCTCATCTCTTGCACCAGCTTTGGGACGGTCCTGAGCGGCTGGCACAGGGTCACCTGCAGGTTTGGCACCCTGTGTGCACGTCCCCAGTAATTCTGCCCTCTGATGTGCTGAGCTTCTGTTGCAATTTTGCCTATGTTTTCCTCCCAACCCACCTGTTTTTGCTCTTAAAAACAGCTGCTTTCATGTTTCCTGCCGCAATGCCCCAAATGGGTTTCTACTTCCCTTATTTCATCTGCCCAATTCTTCCTCTCTCCACTCTGAAGTTTCTTAAAAGTTTCTAGCAGGTAGTGATAACAGAGACATCTCTCTTACGTGCCCTTCCTGGATGTCCATCTGCTTTGCTCCAGGCTTGGAAACTGGCCAGGAGTCTCCAGTGTCTCTTATGTTCTTTATACCAGTACATGGAAAAGGGTAGCAGAGAGGCTATGGGATTTGCATCCTTTGAGATAGCAAAGCTCAACCGGTGAGGCCTCATTAACCTGCTTTGAGCAGATAGAGCTTCCAAAGGCCTCTTCCAACCTGTGTTATTCCGAGATCCCATGGTAATGGGTGTATCTGTGCTGTTACAAAGATGTCATTCACGTGGGAATTTTTTCTAGTCTGACTCTGCCTTTTCCCACAAGCCAGGGGAAAGATGACAACCAGCGTCCTGCCTTCAGCAGGGGATGGATATTGCTATTACATCCTCACGGATGACTGTGCCTATGGCAGCAAGTACTTCCAAGCTGGGAACATCTGTTACTGCAGCGAGAGGAGTTACCTCCGCAATTTCTCTGATGACCGGCCCCCGACCTGTTTCCTCAAAGTCATCATGTTGGATGACAGCTCCACTGTCACCATCAATGTGGAAATCCTGGAGCCCGTGCGCGAGGAGACAACCGCCTTCCTCCTCGCCATCAGCAGCCACCGCGAACGCCTCAACTATTTCTTGGATGGGCTGGGTCTTGAGGCAGCTCTGAAGGCAACGCCCGGCCAAAAAGTGCTGGTGGAGGTTGAACGGCAGCAATTCCCTGGTGTCATCCGCTACATTGGGAGCGTTCACAAAAATACCTCAGCTGTGCTTTGTCCCGTCTTCTTTGGGGTGGAGTTACAGGTAATGTGGCCCAGGAAGGTGGTTTTGCCTCCTTAGTGTTTGTGGACGTCCGTAACATGGCCTGTTTTGTAACAAACGCGTGATTCCTGCCACAACCGTGTAGCCTTTGTGCTGCGTGGGCCTGTGCAACCGCTTGGTCTCTGCTCCCCTCCTCCAGCATCTTCTCTTGCCTTGCATAACTCGAAAGAGCATCTGTCTCCCACTGTTTTCCTTGGAATTTCCCAAAATCCACCTCCTACATGAGCTTTGGTTGCTGCATTCCAGGTTGGGTGTGTCGCCCTGCCGGTGGCTCGGAATGTAACGTGCCTTTCTGGCATATTTTCAGGGTGAAGGCGAAAACAGAGGGCGCAGCGATGGCTCTTACCACGGCACTGAGTATTTCAAGTGCAAGCGGAACTGTGGGGTCTTCCTGCCATTTAACAGAATCCAGTTTACTCCTGCGCCAGACACCGACTACACAAAGCAGAAGCCCAAGGCAGATGCGGAGGAGGTGGTTCCTGTGAAAGTAGGAGATGCCATTAGTTTCTACGTGGACGAGGTGCTCACAAAGGGAATAGCAATGGCGGTTTACAGGGAGGGAAGCCAGTGGTTCGTTAAAGTTTGTCCGGTAAGATCAGCCTTGCCTTCTTTACGTGTTTATTCACTTATTTTGTACCTATGTTGTGGTGAGACCTTAAAAAGCATGCCCAAAAGGGACGTGGGGATTACATGCAAACTGTCTTTAAAATGGGTTCATGCTTCAGGAAATCCCTGTATCTGATAGATTTCAGCTGATTCAATCTTCTTTCCTATCAGGAAGAAGAAGGAACAACTGACATTTTCAGAGAAATCCCTATGGACTCTGTTGTGAAGGAAAACTTGCTCTCTCAAAGTAGGTTATCATGAGATATGTCTGCCCCGTGTACCTTGTTGTGGGTTTAGGCATTTATTAATTTATTTGTAGGGCAGTCGGTGGGCTGAAAGTGCAACAGGAGCATCAGCTAGTCCCACATAAGTCGGGATCAGAGGTAAAGAAGTTGAATAAAAAAATGTCTCGAGATTTGGGCAGAATTACTTGCATTAGGCAACTAGAGCTCTGAGTCTCCCGGTTTATCAGAAAGAGCAGAGATTCTGCTTGCAAGGCATAAGTACTTTTCAAGGGAAGAAAATGTCACTGGTTAAAGAGTCTGTAATTTAGCTGTAGCAGGTGGATCAGTAGCTTCTTCCTGATGCTGGGCAAACCCAAAGGCACAGATGACATCAGTGACAACGTGAGTCATCAGGTGAACTAGCAAATTGGTGGATTCTGCCTCTTGCCACCAAAAGATGCTGGTTTTGTCAGGGCTGGCCAAGGGGAGCTGACTCATCTCAGTAAAGGCAGAAAAACAGTGTGGACCTTCCACTTCCACCAATCCAGGCTACTACAGAGGGCCAGATAAAGCTCCAGAGCAAGGTCAGACTGTGCCTTTTTGAACAGGGAGAAAGAGGAGAGGGATCCTCCCCTTTCAGTCTAAACAAGCTGTTGGACCAGCTCAGCCTTTCCTTTGAAGCTGGCGCTGAGTCACACCGTGCTCAGCTTCGTGCTTCCCTTTGCTCTAGAATTTCAAAATACAACCAGTATTGTCATTAGAAGTTGGCTTCCTACCTCTCTTGACGTTCTCTTTTTACCCGCTAGATTTGTTTTTACCGTACGAGTCTGATATGGACCCAGGACATCCAAATCAGATGAAACAAGAGCTGAGTGAGAGCGGTGAGGATTGTGAAAGTGGAAACTCATCCCTGGAGGTGAACTCCATGGTCCAGATCACCTTGGACAAGGGCAATCAGGTGTCAGGAATCATCCGCTGGTTGGGATACTTGCCCCAAATTAAGCACAAAATGGCAGGAGTTGAACTGGTAAGGAGCAAAAATACTTCTCACAGTGAGATTGCAAATCAGAAGCAGCTTTTTTCTTCTCTCTGAAGACATTCAGTGCGTGACCCCATTTCTCTCAGCATGACCATAGTGGGGCCACTGACATATCAGAGTTTGAACTGTTGAGTACAAGCCCACCTGGTAGCAAGTATATTGCCTAGGGCATGGAACTGGGGTTCAAGATGCCAAAGTGGTTTATATATATATGTGGTGTATATATATATGTACACACACGTACACACACGCACACACATATATATAGGTCTTCTCCTGACTTGCTGTATGAAATGAGGCAAGTTTCATGCTGCCTTATTTCCCCAGTTATCACTGAGGACACTTGAATGCCTGCAGAGGGATTTTAAGGCCTTATTTGCTGTTCTGACGAGGTTCTGTTTGAGAACATTGAGGGATGTTATTTGAAAATGGGGCAGAATAACTACGAGTCCTGCAAATGGCATCACTAGGTTTAAAGCATAATCAGAATAAAGGAAAATACCTGCAAAATGAGACCACATGTTCATAGCTCTCAGGATGCCAAATAACCATGTAGGGAATCACACCTCATTCTTACGGTGCCTGCTCGTGTCCTTTATTTGGGCTCTTTTCCCAGGATGAAGACAAGGGGGTCACAGCTGGCGAGTGGCTGGGCAAATACTATTTCCACTGTGCTCCGAAGCGGGGCCTCTTTGTGAAGCTGCAGTCGTGCCAGCCCGACATTCGCTTCCAGTGTTCGCCCCACAGTGACCTGAATCTTATGGATTATAGTAAGTTTTCTGGGAAGAGGGGAGAAAGGATCAAGCTAGGACAAAATACAGTGCAGAGGTCCTTGTGTGCAGGCTAATTCCATCTACTGAGAGCAGAAAGTGTCCAGCTATCACAGAGTCCAAAATCCCCTTTTAGCCTCAGAGAGTGCTGTGTGTAGGCCTGATACATCTCCTTGTGCAGAGAAACTGAATATTTACATACTTTACATTCCTCATTGCATATCAGAACTCACTAGCAAAGTTATTTCTCTCTTGTTCACGAGGGCGAGTTGGCTGCAAATGCTTTAGTTGCCTTATATACATGGAATAAAAGGATAGTCCTGGTCCCCAAAATCTTCCATTTTGAGACCAGAGATGTTCACGCAAGAAAATTGTGAGACAGTATTATATCATCATTATTTGTCATTTTCCTTGGGTGTTGCAAGAGATATGAATATTAAGGACAGTGAGGAAAGGAAAGGGGAAGGAAAGCTCTTGTGTAAATGAGACCTGATTGTGGACAAGTGTTTTAGGGCAGCTAGGCTAGGCCCTATGGCTATCTTAAATGTTTCACCAATGTAAATTGTATGTGTGGCCCTAGGGACTTGGAAGGGACAACGCAGGCACACGGGTAGGATGTCAGCTGATTCTAGTGTTGTACCTGGTGGCTGAGAAATAAATGGGAGCTGCACAAAGGAGAGATGATTAAATCAATTTTAATGTAGAGCTTGAAGGAAATCGTTTAGAAACTTAGTTCCTTAAATTCTCTGCTGAATTTTGTCCTCCTGTGAAACTGGATTGACACCTGCCTGCCCCACGGGGCTGCATGTGCTCAGGGGTGTTTCAGGTGTACCCTGTGCATTTCCATTCCTCCTGCAACCAGGATAACGGGACATTCGGTCCTCTTCATTCATGACAGGATCGGAGGGACTAAACCAAGCTGTAATGTTTGGTACCAGCTTCTGCCTTGTTCAGGCTCCATATTCACAGCTTGTATCACAGATGTTTCTGCAGAGAGCTCCCAAGCTTGTGTCTAACACAACAACAACAAATTTGTAGGTCGTCTTCTCATTATCCGTGTCAGAAGGGTGGTAGAGGTAGCATGGGTTGGTAGAGTTCTGCTCTGGCAAGGGAGAGGTAGTTTGTTGGGCAGAGGGGAGCTGGATGAGCTGGGAAGCTAAAGGGACTTGCTTCTGTTACTTGTGTTGCAGGAGAGCAAGAAGCTCTTCCCCAGGTCCGGGTGAATTTTCCTCCCCTCGGGAATGAGAGGGCAGTGCAGGTCCTGCAAGGGCGGATGAAGGGGATTCAAGGCCACTGTAATTCCTGCTACATGGATGCAGCTCTCTTCAGGTAAGAGTCTGCTAGGGCAGGGCCCTGCTGCGAAATCGTGACCTTTTAATAGGGGCAGAGCCTGAAGCCCAAGCTTCCCTGCACCTCCAGCACGGCTGGAAACTCACCCAGTGTGAGCAAGGATGTAATTGTGTGGAGATGCAGCCTCACTGCTTGCTGCCTTTTGATCTCCCTTGTAATCTGGTAGGTTTGCAGGCTTCAAAGTAGCTCTTGGGAGTACTTAAGGTACCCGAGTATCTGTCCAGCATAGTAGTGAAAGATGGTTGCTGTCTGGACCAGACCAGTCTGACTCTGCTATTGGAGGTAATGACCACAAACTTATTTCAAAGAAACTGTCCCTGGAGAGGAAAAGCCTCAGTGATGCCCTTGCATGAGCAGTTTTAGCTGCAAAGTGGGAGATTTCATTGTCTCTAAGCTATTTTCTTGCTTGCTGCAAGTTTTCATTAAACCAGACAGAGTTTGTCATCTTACTGTGGGGGTTCTTCATCACTCGTGTTTCTGTAATTGCACACACGAGTTGTTGAAAATAAAACCCAGCACGTGTCACTCAGCACTGCGGTTTGGATCCACCTGCTGCTGCCAACCCATCCGACTTGCACGTGTTCTCTTTTCAGCCTCTTCTCCTGTACGTCCGTGCTGGACTCCATGCTCTTCAAGCCCTTCCCACTGTGTGACAGGAACGTCCAAAACATTCTGCGGGATGAGATTGTGAATCCCCTTCGGAAGTGAGTGTAGTATGTGGGAATTTGGGAAGTCATCCGTCTGTCCTCGTACCTTCTCTGCCAAACAGATGATAATTGTCACTGAGAGAAAGGATGGCTTGTTGGGGGTCTCCTGCCAGCCATATCCAAAGCTCTTCCTTGGATTTTTCTTCCAAGGGTTCCCTTTCTGTAAGGCTGTCAGTTAATAGCCCCATTTCGTGGAAATGCCTATGGAGGTCGGAATGTTGACTCTTCAGCTTGTTGTATCTGTGGTGTAGTGACTGTATGGAAAGGCAGTGAGCACTGAGGCTGCTGCCCATGGCACGAGAGCTAAATTCAATGGACTTTGTGTCAAAGATACCAAGTTCTTTCCTCGCCTTCCCTACTTTCCCCTAGGTGTGGGAGTGAGGCACTGAGAGCTGCTTGTATGCAGGGTGTTAGCATCCTTCCAGGTGGGTTGAAGCCTGGAACTTCCTTGCTGAATACAAACCAGGGATTCTTTGAGAGGGTGAGATTTAAATAATCCTCCACAGCTGCTTTTTGCTTCCAGGACTGGCTTCGTCATGGCCAGGAGTGTGATGCACCTCAGGGAGCAGCTAACTGAGAAGGGCCAGTATTCGAGTTTTACCACTGCTGAGAAAGGTAATAGGCTGCTGGGAGCCTTCCCAGAATTGCTTGGATGTGAATTGCCTCATCCAGGCGCCAGGCTGACAACCTCGGTTTCCATTTCTCCCATGCACATGTATTAAAATGCCTGATTTATGCATTTTTTACGTGAGTGTGAAATATATGTATAAAATATTTTCATTTTTTAAAACTCTGTGATGTTTGCAATAGCTATTGCTTTTGGGAAGAGAGAGGAAGAACTGTGTAAACAGAATTGAAACAAGGGAAATTTCCCTAGTGTTTGATTTATGCTTGGAGTTATGCCCTGTCCCTAACCAGCACTCTTGTGCTATTGTATATATATTTTAGCCAGGGATGATTTAGCTTCTAATTTGTTTCTTGAGCTTCTATAGCTGTTCCTCGTTTCACGTTGAGGTAATAGGCACCTACTATTAGCACTAAAAGCATTAAGGTGTCTCTGAAAAGAGTATCACTGTGTTGGCTCAGCTTGGAAGAATGTGGTATCAGTTCTGCATGCATCATCTAAACAGCCAGATACAGCTAAAAAAACATTCTGTCTGAAGAGATTGAAAAATGAGCTAAGAGAAGGCCATTTATTGGCTGGATGACAGAGCTCAGAGGGTGGTGATCAGCGGTGCAGTCTCTAGCTGGAGGCCTGTAGCTAGCAGTGTCCCCCAGGGGTCAGTCCTCAGTCCAGTCCTGTTCAATTTATTCATCAATGACCTGGATGAAGGCACAGAGTGCTCCCTCAGCAAGTTTGCTGATGATACCAAACTGGGAGGAGTGGTCTGCAGAGAGGGACCTGGGTGTCATGGTGGATGACAAGTTGACCATGAGGCAGCAGTGTGCCCTCGTGGCCAAGAAGGCCAATGGGATCCTGGGGTGCATTAAGAGGAGCATCTCCAGCAGGTTGAGGGAGGTGATCCTGCCCCTCTACTCAGCCCTGCTGAGGCCACATCTGGAGTTTTGTGTCCAGTTCTGGGCTCCACAGTACAAGACAGATGTGGAGCTGCTGGAGAGAGTCCAGCGCAGGGCTACGAGGATGATCAGGGGCCTGGAACATCTGCCCTATGAGGAGAGACTGAGGGAGCTGGGCCTGAGTGAGGAGAAGGGGGCCAGCCTCTTCTCAGTGGTGGCCACCCACAGATCTAGAGGTAATGATCACAAACTGAAACACCAAAAGTTCCACAGGAACTTAAGGAAAAAGTTCTTAGCAGTGAGGGTGACAGAGCACTGGAACAGGCTGCCCAGAGAGGTTGTGGAGTCTCCTTCTCTGAAGGAGATCTTCAAAACCCGCTTGGATGCAGTTCTGTCCACATGCTCTAGGTGACCCTGCGTGTGCAGGGGGGTTGGACTAGATGACCTCTAGAGGTCCCTTCCAACCCTAAGCACTCTATGATTCTATGATTTTTTTTTCTGTCCCTATTTCAGAGGGACAGTTTGCTTTTTTTCCATGTTTGCTTGAAGATTTGTGCATTAACCAAAGGCACTCAGCTCCTCATTCAAACACCACCTTAGCTAGAGTAAAAGAGAAGATTCCCACTTTCCAACTGCTGACTCTTGTTCATCAGAGAGTTTTAGCCTTGTGAATGGGCCTGGGTAAGGGAATGTTCCTTGTGGGATGTGACTTGTGCTGTTCTCTGAATTTCCAGATCCTGAGGAGTTCCTCAATCTGATAATGCATCAGATCCTGGGAATAGAGCCACTCCTGAAACTGCAGTAAGTTTCTGTATCTGAGTGATGCAGTTTGCCCAGTCCAGGTTCACTGTTTATTCACCTTGCAGTTATTTCACTTTTTTATCCAGACTTTGAAGGCACAACCGAGCAAGTTGTGTACAGGACCTCTCTGCTGTCCATTAATAACAGCCTGTGTAGCTTGTGATCTTGTCCCAGGTGGCCAGTCTAGGAAAAGATGCTTCAAAACTCTCCCTGGACACGTCACCTTCAGAAAATGATGAAAGAAACTATTATCAGAGCTGGTAGCGGTTTGGGAAGCCTAGTGTCCATCTTCAGCACAGAGCCCACATGATCTGACAGCCTTTGGATGTAGTTAAGTTGTATGCAGACTGTCAAACTGGCTCTGATCCTAGAGCCTGCCAAACAGGGAGCCCATGGAATGTAGTCCCAGTTTTCTCAGGTCTCTACAAAGAAAATGAGGGTCTGAAGGAAGCCAAAAATAACTGTGCTGTTGAGGAGCATAGAAGGGGATTGTTGGATTTCTGGGCACCCTTGTTGGGTTGTCAGTCAAGCCTCAGCTCAGGGAGCTGCTCAGAAAGGCAGAGCACAGAGGCAGCTCTGTGCTGCAGCTCCCCTGCGGAGGGTCAGCTAAAGGAAATCCTGTCCCTGCTGGCTCAGGGATGCAGAAATTCTGGGACATCTTTTGCACATAACTCACCTTTGAATGCACAGTTTTGCCTTGCAGCTTTGTGTGTGTGTGGTTATAAAATAACTTTTTAGCTGAGCTGATTTTGCTGACTGTGATGTGAAGCTGCGAAATATTGAAACATCTTGAATTGTTACACTGAAGAGGAGGAAACTGTGTTATGCTCTTTGGAACAGGATATGATGCTAGTAGGGTAGAGAGACTAAATGTAGTTCTCTTCTTCCTAGTGTGTATTTAGTATTTTGGGGTGGAAAAGTGCTGTTTTTCAGTGTTCCAGCAAGCACCCCTTGGTGCCCCATGCCCAGAAACTATTGCAGGACAAAAATGGAGTGTCCTCTGAGAGCTCAGATGTCTGTGGCACCAGGTAAACAAGCTGCCTGTGACGGCTTCCTGCAGGTCCGGAGGCCAGGAGGAGCAGGAATCTTACTGCTACCAGATATTTATGGACAAACAGGAGGATCTGGTGATTCCTGATGTGCAGCAGTTAGTGGAACACTCCTTCCTGTCCTCCGATCTGAAGCTAGTGGAGGTGAGCCTGGCTACCTTCACTATCTGCTGCCTTCTTCTTCTTTCCTCCAACGTGCCTGTGCCTTTTAGACCTGAGAGAAGTCTTGGGATATCTGAATGTGAAGGAAAAAGGGTCTTGCTTTTCCTCTAGTACTGTTATGTCCTGTGGATACCTTGAGTAGAACATCTTTAGTCCAAGGAGGCATAGGGAGAGCAGAGTCCCTGTAACTGGTCTCTTCTGGCTTGGTGACACATTTGCCTTTCTCTTCCCAGATCCCATCTTGCTTCATTATCCAAATGCCACGTTTTGGGAAGGAGTATAAAATGTTCAGCAAAATCATTCCTTCCTTAGAGCTGGATATAACTGACCTGCTGCTTGACAGTAAGTTCTTGGGCAGTGTTACTGTGAGGAACCGCGTGACGAGTCTTGTCTCTTTGGGTTGTGAGGAGGAGAGGGATCCAGCTGTGATTCCTGTTCCCTGAGTTCTAGTTTGGGTAAGACAAGGTGCATTCGGGTGAGAGACCTGGGAAGGACACGTCCTGTCACTCCGGCAGGTCCCAGGGAGTGCTGTGTGTGTGGCGACGTGGCAACCCTCGAGTGTTCGGAGTGCTTCAAGGACAAGGTGTTCGCAGCCTCGGGCCTGAAGCAGTTCTGCAGCTCCTGCTCCAGACAGGTATTCATTTTCTTTGGGTGCTTCCAAAATCTGCCCTGGTGGCTGAGAAAGGAGCCAAACAGCTGCTCAGGTCAGGTAGAGATGGGCTGAATGAGTTACGTGAGCAGGGTCAACTGTCACTTGTTACTAAACTCTCCTGCCTTGCCCTATGCTTATGTAGAGTGTAAATAAGCCCTGATTTTGCCCAGAGTGAGTGCTGGGCCCTTGGTGTTGCTCCTGGTGAGACCCTCCTGTGGCTTTGTGGCCGCGCTCGGCCGGCAGCAGCTTCCCAACTCAACTCCCAGCTTTCAGGATGTCGCCGTTTTGCTGTTCCCCGGTATGTCGGGAAGAGCGAGCGGTGCCACCCCCGGCCCCCCACCAGGTTCACTCCCATTACCGGCGCAAAGGCCACAAGCTGAGCAGGCTGCGCATCCCCGAGGAGTTCCACAGCAGGAGCCCCCACGGCGGCCAGCGGGTCCCACGCGAGAAGCTGGAGCTCTTTGCAGTGCTCTGCATCGAGACCAGCCACTACGTCTCCTTCGTGAAATACGGCCCCGAGAACAAGCACTGGATGTTCTTTGACAGCATGGCCGACCGGCACGGTGAGGACGGGGCTGGGCACGGTGGGCATATCTGAGGGTCTGTAACGCTCATCATGTAGGGGCTGGTCGCTCTGCTTTGAGCTGGTGGATGGTTCCAGCAGGGCTTCGGAGTGACTTTGTGCCTAGAAGGAGCATGAGGCTTTCAGGGTGAATGAGTGGAATAGCAACTTTATATACAAAGGAGAGGCCTCGTACCTGAATTTTAGCCTGGGGAGAAGATTGAGAGGGGATCTGATCAATATGTATAAATACCTGAGGGGGGATGTAAAGAGGATGGGGCCAAACTCTTCTTGGTGGCGGCCAGTGATGGGACAAGGGTTAATGAGTATAAGTTGAAACAGGGGTAGTTCCATCTCCATATGAGGAAGAACTTATTTCCTGTGAGGGTGACAGACCCTAGCACAGGCTGCCCAGAGAGGCTGTGGAGTCTCCTTCTCTGGAGATCTTCAAACCCACCTGGATGCCACCCTGTGCTCTGGGTGTCCCTGCTAGAGCAGGGGGTTGGGCTACATGATCCCTAGAGGTCCCTGCCGACCTCAGCCATTCTGTGATTCTGTGAATTGGGTGCCCTCACGATCCTCCATCCAACACCAGTTGTTAAGCAAAGAGGATGACTAGGCCATGCACATTTTGAGTCCCTTCTAGTGGGGATTTTTTGAGCCAGGCAGAGCTTAAAAAAAGACAGTTCTGTCCTCACTTCGTTCTTGGCATCTCAGTATCTCAGCCAAGGTATTACATTACTTTCCCTTGCAATAGTATGTGTTCAAGCTGTGAATCCTTGTCCCTCGGGACCTGCTTGGGACTCAGACCTGTCTCCCTCTTTTTGGGTCAGGAGATGAAAAGGGCTTCAACATTCCCATGGTAACGCTGTGCCCTGAAGTTGCCAAATACCTGGAGTTGCCAGTGGCCACCCTGGCCCTGGAGCAACCCCGTGACATGGACGGCGTGGCCAAGCGCCTCTTCTGCGACGCCTACATGTACATGTACCAGAGCAAGAAGATGGCACTTTACAAGTGACCTTCCTTGACCTGGTGCTGTCCTGCAGCTTTTCAGAGAGCTGAGCTGGGACCAAACCTGCAGCTGCTGATGGGTAAAAGCAGCCGGGGCGCGGGACGCCCACCTTGCACTTCTGCCTCTTCTTGCCTCCTTCGGTGCTTGGTTTGGAACTGTCTCCAGGAGCTCACTGGGGTTTGGAAATGCTGGACCTGGCTTTCCCATGTGAGAGCTTGTGCTGCTGCAGAGCTGAACGTGAGCTGTCACACTCAGACACGTCCATCTTTACCACCCTCTGCCTGTTCCAGCTTCTTCAGGTCCTCCCACAGCTTCCTCCCTACCACCTCTTCCCTCCGAAGGTCAGGACCAAACCATGAGCAGGTTAGAGCAGTAGCTGTAACCAAAGCAGCAGCAGTTGCCCTCAGACTTGCCAAGGGTATGAGAAAACCATGGCCTCATCCTGACTAACGCTTCCTAATGTGGACTTGCTGAGGAGGGGCTGGAAAGAGGGGTTTTCTTGAGGAGTACAGCTGCAGTCTGAGGTCTTCCACCTCATTTTAGCACTTACTGCCTTATCTCCATATCAATGTCTGAGATAGGTGAGCAAGAGCAGTAACACACACATACATAAAAACAATCACTTTTCAAATTTATTTTCCGCTATAACTGCACTAACCTCCTGAACACCTCCTCTTCTACTAATTTAAATAATTTACATTTGCAAAGTGGAGGTTCTCCCCCCTTAAGCACATGCTCCCTGTGCCTGCAGGCAGCTGTTAAAAGGAGTCTGTGCTAAGAGTTGGGCTGCTCAGGCTGCAGACTGAGGGTACAGGACAAACCCAAGGGCTGCAGCTCCTCCTGCTCCTTCCCTCTGTGTCTGTGGGGCGATGGTGCCAGCTCTGATACTGCTGGTGCCTCTGACCATCATTTCCTTGTCTGTTCTTCCTTCAGCATCTGGTACAAACCCACAATATCTCTACTGCAGGTATAGTGGGGGCTCAACTCTGCATCTCTGGTACTTTAGTGCTAAAATTTTTAAGTTAAAATGCAAACCAGCTTCCTCTTAGCTGGAGTGTTTTATATTTTTTCCCCCTTAGCACATTAAGCAAATCATGGTACAGTGCCTTACACAGGACAGGCCCAGCAGTGACAATGCAATGGAAAGTATCTGCCTAGCCTGTTCTTTCCCTTTTTTTCTCTAAAAAGGGATCATGAGTCTGTGCTTCACTGACCTCTTAATTTCTAGTGTGTGATACGCAGCATATGCTGCAAAGATGTAAGCTAACAAGAAAAAAAATACCTCTTACTAAGATGGTGCTGGGGGAGGATGTGCAAATCCAGATGACTTTGCAGTCACTGGAGCTGGGAGCATGGACATGAAGCATCATCCTCGGCACTTCCTGAGCACCAAGATGAAGATTCTAGGTCCTGAAATGGGGTCCAGTGTCTGGAGCAGCCCCTTATTGAAGCTGCATCTCAATCTCACTGGTACTTTCCACTGCTCTCCCTGGCCGCATGTTTTATAGTGTGGGGCTCAACGAGGGTCTCTTTGCTCATGCATTTTACAAGCTGGATGTGCAGGGGGAAGGATTTGATCTCTTTATCTTCCAAACCCAGCTGGGATTAGTGAAAATTTGCTCATCTCACAAGTGAAGTGGCTTTGGGGGCTGCTTTTCCCTTCCATGTAACAAGTTTCGTTGACTCCACTGTGATAAAGTCTTTGGAACCGCCAGTGCTTCAGCCTCGTGTCTGAGACGTGCCCAGAAAGGCACCAAGGGTGATGAGGGAGCCAGCAGAGCCCCTGGAGCAACAGGCTGCCCCACCATGGGGACATGGAGAAGAGCCCAGGCCCTTTTACTGTCATCCCTTGCTTTTTGTTTTGCCTCTATTCACTTCTCAAACATGACTTGAAATGAAGGGCGTTGAGTTAAACGTGAACCTCAAGGGCATAAGTGTTCCTGGAGGGACCAGGACAGCCACACATGGTGTTTGAAGCAAGAGGATTAAGGCATTTATTTCGTTTTGTGCTTGGGACAGAATAATCACTGAGATGAGGGCCACGTTTTCTGTATAACAGTCAAGTGAAAGGGTCCCTGCACTAACACGAAACCCGTCTCCAGACTTGGTTGGGGCCTGATACAAAACAGAAAGATATAAAAAGGGGGCAGCAAGGCAAAGCTGAGAGCAGAGAGGGCAAAGAGTGTCCCATAAAGCATAAGGCTGGGGGGAGGAGGGGACAGGGTCACTTGAGCCCCATCGCTCAAGCTGCCTCAATGCGGGTTAAGGCCACATTGTTGCTTCCCCTGTCTGGGCCGCGGGGATGCTGCAGCTGCAGAGGGTTCCTGAGGCCACCAAATCCTCAGCCAGGCTGGCGAGTGCTGCAAGGAGCGAGTGACCTCTGCGAGACACGGCGAGCGCTCGGACACGGAGGCAGCACCACAGGCACCAGGTGCGCAAGATGGACAGGGAAGGGGATGCTCTGCCCCGTGGGGAACACAGGGAGTGGTGTCCGTGCCATCCCGTCAGCCCCACAGAGGGACGCCGTCCTCGGAGCCGTTTGTTGCCAATCAGTCGGTCAGGAAAGTGCCGGAGGAGCCGACGCTGTGCGCTAGCTGGCACGCCGCAGCTCCCCAAAGAGGCCGTGCAGCTTCTCCGTGATGGCCACCTGCGGCAAGAGCGCGAGGAGCGGGGTGAGCGCTTGTCCCGCGAGGAAGAGCCCCGCGCGCAGGGGCCCCCTGTGCCGTACCGGGTAGGGCTCGGGCTGGCGGAGGCGCCGGTGCGCTGGGCTGAGGCGGCCGAGCGCGGGCCGCGCGGGGACGGGGAGCCGGACCCTGAGCCCGCCGGGGGCTGCCAGAGCGCCTGGCTCTCCCCAAATTGGTAATGTTTTAAAGCAGAGAAAAGCCAGGTTGGGTTAAGCACAAGGGTGTGAGCCTTGGGACCCAGGGAGGGAGCCTCATGGCTCCCGCCTTCCCCCAGCACAGCCTGGAAGAGGAGGCCATGTGGTGGGGACAAGGACATCACAGAGCCAAGCGAGCCCGGCAGCTTCGAGGCCATGGAGGGGACAGGGTAGAGCCGGTCTGACCTGTCCGTCTTTGAAGTACGTGCGATGCAAGGCCTCCACGGTGGCAGCCTTGACCTTGCGGGCCTCTCCGTTCTGCCCCAGGACGTGGACTGTGAGCTCCTGGCCTGCGCTGGGTGAGGGCTCCTCCTCCAAGGCCATGAGGTCCATGAAAGGGTGACCTGCAGGGTGAGGGGAGAGCAAGCAAATTGCAAAGCTGGGGGCAGGATCTGGGGACAGGAGGGGACACAGCTCAACACTCCTGGAGGAGCCTCCCAAGCTTCTGGCCTTGCAGGGAGCTCTGGGCCTAATGCCCAGCACGCTAAGTGGGCATTCTCGTGGGGCACGGGGGGCACCGTGGGCAGCAGGGCTCACCGGCAGCATCGTAGAGCCGATAGACCCTCTTCACGCCCGGGATCGTCATCTTATCCTCATCCTCTGTGAGCTTCAGGCATGGGGAGTCGTTCACTTTCACCAGCTGCAGAAGGAGGCGCGAGGCTGTGGGGACGGGCGCCGAGGAGGCTGGTAGCGCGCGGAGAGCAGGGCTGCCGTTACCTTGTAGACGCAGCCCAGCGACGGCTGCAGCGGGCACGTCACGAGGTTCGTCCCGATGCCCAGCACGTCGATGTCGTTGCCCTGCCGTGGCAGAGAGGACAGCAAGCGTCAGCAGCCCCATCCCGCGGCTGCTTTTTAGCCCATGCCAAAGGCAGAACCGTAGGGCTGTCAGAAGCTGCTCTGCTCGAAGTATCCACCCACCCATCCATCCATGCATACATTCATCTTGCCATCCATCCATCCCACCCAGAATCCACTTTTTCCAGCCCAGACACCCTTCATGGTGCAGCACAGAGATGCAGGGCAACTGTCACCCCCTTGCTCCAGTGCTCAGAGGCCTCCAGCAGAGGCAGAGGTGACGTCCCAGCCGCAGCGGCAGCCACCTCACCTCTCGGATAAAGTCCTCCAGGCTCCGCTCACTGATGTCGTTGCTCACAGCAATAGAGATGGTCTCGAACCAGGGCACCTGGAAGCTGCAGAGAGAAGCAAGGGGCCCTCAGCACCCTGCAGAAACCCTCTCTGCGAGGGAAAGGCGCCTGGGACTCACTGGGCGCTGCAGGCGCGAAACGCCTGGCGGATCTCCTTGGACTGCTGGGCCAGGTCCCCACTGTCCAGGCGCACCCCGATGGCGCGGTAGCCCAGCTCATTCAGTGCCAGGGCCACGGCGCAGAAGTTGGGAAGGCCACTCCTGGCAGGGGAGAAGGGAAGGATTAGTCTGTCAAGGACATAGGAGCGATAAACACTACATAAAGCTGTCCAGCAGCAGACGCTTCTCAAGAGCTGCCCTTTTCCCTCCTGTCCCCAGCTCTGTATGATGGGAAGGGGGATCCATCCGGCCCCATTGAACTCCCCTTCTTCCTAACATCCAAGACCTGGGCTCCCAAGGAGGTGGGAGAGCCCTGGCGCCCTCACCGCATGACGCAGTAGGTGTCCAGCAGACCCTGAAAGTTGCGTGGGAAGCTCACGGCGTAGGAGACGAAGGCAGCCAGCTCGCCGCGGTTCACCTTGCTTGGGGAGACCTGCAGCAGCTCGCACACCCGTGGCAGCCACGACTCGGCCAGCGAGGGGAGATCCACCGGCTCTCCTCCAGCGGCAGGCACCAGCACCTGCCCGGCGACAAGGGCCACACTGCAAAGCTGGCTCTGCTGCCACCCAATGCCCAGAAACGCCCCCCAGCCTGTGTCCTCGCCTGGTTGTGGGACTGCGATGCTCACCCGGGGCTCCACCTCCGCCAGTGATGTGAAGGACATGATGAACGAGTGGGCCACGGTGCCCTGCACAGGGATGCCATAGAGCTTCCCTGCCAGCACGTTGCTGGTGCAATCGAAGCCTGCGGCGAGGGAAGTGGAGGGTGAGGGAAGAGGGAAGAGCTGGGAAGAGCTGCTCCGCAGGGCTGCGCTCACCCCCAATGTAGGAGTACTTGGAAGCCGAGAGGCCACCGTCCGGACCCTGGGCGCGACGCAGCCCCAGCTCCATCAGCTTTGTGGCTGGACCAGCAAGAAGCCGGAAGCGGGCGGCGTTCGTGGACACCAGGCTATGAGAGAGGAAGGTGAGAGCTGCCCTGGGAGGCTCCCAGACCAGTTCAGCTCCTCTCCGACTCTGAGCCGAGGTGGATGGGCTCGGCTGAGGCCAAGCAGGATGCGAAGGGCCTGGCTACAATGGGGCCAAACGCGTCCCCCATGGCTAAGGGATCCCAGCCCCCCAAACCTGGGTGCTCCTACCTGGCATAGCTGACCAGGCACAGCAAGGTGGTCTCCAGCAGCTGCACCACCAGCAGCGGCCCCTTCACCTGCAGGAGCGGGACCTGCAGGAAGAGCCAGGCAGGCAGCAATGAGGCCTACTGCCCCAACGGAGCTGGAGTCAACAGCGCCTGGCAGTGAAAGCTGAGCCCCAGCCCAGCCACCCTGGCCCATGCTCACCCTGGAGAAGACAACAGAGCCTTCGGGCACGGAGGAGACGGTCACCTCGGAGGCATCCACGGTGCACAGGTACTCAAAGAAGGCCTCTTCAGTGGTGCTGGGCAGGACAGAGCGCAGGTAGGCGATATCTGCGCAGGGAGGCGAGGGCGGCCGCTGAGCGCGCAGGTGCTGCTCGTGCTGCAGGGGACGCCGCTCGCCGTGGAGCCCCACGAGGGCCAGGCCCTCGGGGCAGCAGCAGCCACACCGAGCTGCGGCCCCTTGAGGGACTGGCCTGGGTGCTCAACTCACCCTCCTGAGGGGTCTTCTTGCTCCCCTGAGAGATGTCCCTGCCCCAATCTAGCCACCCCAATCTAGCCACCCCAATGGCTCCCTCCATATCCCTCCAGGTATCCCCTCTAAGAAAAGTCCATGTCTCCCCCCTCAGGTCCCTAACGGATGTCCCTGACCCCCCACCTACGTCCCCCTGTCCCTCCCAGATCCCCCAAGGGGACTCCTGGTCCCTCTGAGGGATTTTACTGTCCCCCAACTTCCCGAAGGAGTGCCCTTGTCCCTAGGGTCCCTCTGGGGAGTGTCGCTGTCCCTCAGGATCTCTCTGAGGGCTCCTCTCTA